TCCATTATGTTGACATTACCCCACACGTCGACATTACACCCCTTCGCCCTATACCTCTTCACCCTGTCTGCTGAGTAAGCAGTCTTCAAAACCACCTAAGAAATATCATAAAGTCATGACGACAGTCAAATTTTCTATAAATTTAGACCATGGTTATGGAATGTGCAAAGAACCAACTTACCAAACACAAAAACAACTTTGACATCTCCCTCTGCCATCTTCACTTGATCTCCAGTTCTGATGCTAATTTTTTGTCTCCTGGGATCTTCAGCCAAACTGTCCCCTTTTTGACGGGTCTGTTTCGGACTCGCCGTACTGTTAGTGCAACCCATTTTAAGTTCTAAATGTACACTGGACGTTATTTTTATAAATTATCCATGTTTGCCCTGCATCAGATACCACATATTAACGAATACTCCAATTTTTAGATCACTTTTTCGGGTAATTTTTTTCCAATTTTCAGTTGCTATGACGTATTTCCAATATTTCTTCTTCTTTATCCAATTATAGTGCTCGTGTACAAGCACATTGGCACTTTAATGTTGCCTTTGATCACTTGATACAGTAGCTTCACTTTTGTACTAATTTACACTTGTACTTCTCACTAATGCTTATTTGACTTTTTGAGAGAGCGCATATTTTAATTTTGTTTACGGGTATTTTTATTATTTAAAGAGTCACTATCTCTGGAAGTTTATCTTTCATTTCTGGTAAAGAGTCACTATCTCTGGAGTAGTTTTTCATTAAATTCTGTTTGTAGAAAGTAGGAACTTATTCAGTTCCTTTATTATTTCCTTGTTAAGTTTTTGGTCAATGTTGTCGTTGAGGCCTGTGATTGTTTGTATGTCGATGGTTGGGTTGAAATCTGCTCCCAATAGAATAGAGTCTATTGCTGCTATCATAATGTCCCTCTGTGCGTTGTACTTGCTACACTGAAACAAGAAATGGTGGACAGTTTCTGGTAAGTTACAGTGTATGCAGTTTGGGGATGATAGTTCAGGGTTAATCTTGCAGTAATGACCATTTAGACGAGTGTGCCCAGATACTAATTGATTAAATTTGGTTTGACTGTATCTTTTACCCATATTTATCAATCTAGATTGCACTTTCACTTTTGGGATGAGATTTTGGATAAGGTTGACTTTGTTGGAATTATCATACCTATTTTGCCATTTTTCAATCACCTTAGTTTTGATTGCCTTATAGGCCATGGTTTTTGTTGTATTAGATACTGGGAGTGTTTTAGCTGAGTTGGCTGCTTTTTTAGCTATATTATCAGCCAGCTCGTTACCCTCTATTCCTAGGTGACTAGGTACCCATATTACCTCAATAGTTTTGTTCAACAGGGAAAGGGTTCTGCATGCTTTCCTAATAACCATGGTTTCTTGTGTCATGTTTTTCAATTTTGTGTTTAGGAAAGCTGATGTAATAGCAGGTTGACAGTCTGAGAGGATTGTAACTTTGTCTGAGCACCGGGATTTGACTATGTGTTCCAATGCCATCTTCAGGGCCACAAGCTCGCCGTTGTAGTTGTTTCCCTGGTTGGCCACTGGCTCTTCCAGGCACACTGGGTTGCTTTTAAGGCCGTTCGTGTATACAATGGCTGCTGCTCCAGTTGGCCCTGGGTTGCCAAGAGCCGATCCATCAGTGAATATTATGGTGTCAGAGTTGTTAATGTTGTCCAGTAGGTTGTTGATGTAGTCAGTTTGTTCAGCTTTGGATCTGCTGAAATGTTCTGAATGTACAAGAGCATCTGCAGGCAGAAAGGACTCTGCATCTGATTTGTAGTAGCTGTGTTTTTCGTAGCTATCTGTTTTGGTGGGGCAGGAGTGCAGTCTTAGTCTTGCTGCCAGCATGGTAAAGCAAGTTGGTTTACTTTCATGCTTAACAGTTTCCGCCCAGTGCTGGTATTCTTGGGTGATGGGGTCAGAATTCTTATGATTTAAGATCCTGACAGCCTCTTGAGCTTGCCTTGCTCTAAGATGGATGTCTAAGGGAAGCACTCCTGCTAGAACCTCCATTGATTCAGTGCTAACTGTTGACAAGCAGCCAGTTGTTTTGAGGAGTGCAGCCCTTTGGACTGTAGAGTAAGCTTTAGAGGCTTTATCTGTTACTGTGGCCATAGCACTGATTCCTGTCTCTAGGTGTGGAATCACCAAGGTTTTGTAGAGTATGGTGAATACCTCCTGACTGCATCCGGAGTTGTCGCTGGTGAAGTTGGAAATGCCAGCCAGAGCTCCAAATGCAGCCCTCTTTTTCTGTTCAATATGTTGTTCAAAGGTGAGCTGGTCATCTACCGTAACTCCAAGGATCTTTTTAGAATGGACTATTGAGAGTTGTTTTCCCTGAAAGTGTATGTTAATGTTGGGTTTAGCTTTTCCGGGGGGGGAGAACACAAGAACCTCAGATTTTTCCGGTGAAATCTCCATGTTCCACTGTTTGCACCATTTCCCGGCGAGTTCTTCAAGGTCATTGTTGATGCTCTGTTCTACTGCAGCAATGTCAACTCCACTTGACCAAATGGTGTTGTCATCAGCAAAACCAGCGGTACGAGATACAACTTTTGACATTGAATCTGCCGTGTAAATGTTGCAGAGGGTCGGGGAAAGCACGGATCCCTGTGGTATTCCTACAGATGATGGGAGGAGATCGGTGGTATGGTCATTGGCAGTAATGGAAAACTTCCTGTTAAACAAGTACTGGGAAATGTAAACAAGAAGTCTTCCCCCTATGCCATTTCGAGCCATTTTGTAGACAAGTCCCTCTCGCCATATCCGTTCAAAACAACTTTCGTAGTCTAATATAGCAGCTATGACAGTCTCGCCCTTGTTCAGAGATTCCTGTACAGACTGTATGAATCGTATCACAGTCTGCGAGCATCCCCGATGTTCTCGGAATGCATCTTGAAATCTGCAGTAAGTGTTAGTCGTTTCATTCCGCCAAGATAGTCGTGGGCTTACAATTCGTTGTAGTACTTTTCCAATAATGGATTCGAGTGTGATGGGTCGGTAAGCCCTCTCAGTATTATAATCCTTCTTATTGGGCTTGCCTAGCATCGTTTTTGGGTCTATCTGGAATTCAGACGGGAGGACGCCCTCCTCCCAACATTTCTGAGCTAGTTTCCAGATAGCCTGATGTAGGTAATTCCCCCCTTTTTTAATAATGATTCCCATGATTTTTTCCCTGGGGCTGGGGGCTGTGTTAGTTGGGGTCCTATTTATAGCATCTATGGTTTCCCTCAAAGTAATATCCTTGTTTTCCTCAGAACATGTTTTGTGATAGTTGGGTTCCAGGATTTTTTCTTTCTCAGTTTTGATTATGTTGTTAGCTGTCTGGTTGACATGGGAGTACCATACTCCACACTTCTGAACGGGCAGCTGTTGTTTGCCATATTGTTGAATCATTGCTTGAGCAATGTCAACATCAGTGTAGAGTATGTCACTTCCATCCTTTGGTTTTATTGGTTGAACTATCTTTTTGGCTTTCTTGTTGTTTGTTCGGTTTACTGCTTTCCAAATGCCCTCTGGTCTGCCCACACAGAGCTCACTGAACAATTGGTCCCAGTATTGGGATTCTTGTTGTTTAGCATTTATGGTAAATTGGTCAGCCAGCTCCGTGTATGCAGCCCAGTTGGCCGGATCACTTCTTTTATTATACCTACGTTTCGCTTTTCTTAAGTTTCTTACCTGATTGGTTAGATCATGTGTCCACCACCCTTTGCTCCTGCTACACACCGTTTTCTTAGGGATGTTCTCAGCAACGACCTTGTGTATCAGGGAGCATAGTGTAGTGTAGCATTCCTCCACGTTAGAATTGGGGAGTGTTACCTGTAACCAATCAGAGCATTTTAAATCACATTCAGTTGCGAAACTATTCCAGTTCGTATTTTTGAGGTCTAGGTACTCTCTTTTCATCTCTGCCTCAGGCCTGCCGATCCTGAAGGAGATCAATCTGTGATCAGATCTGAGATAGACCTCCTCCCGAACCCGCCACTCCTGAATTCTGGATGAAAGAGTACCAGAGCCAAAAGTCAGGTCAATGATGGTTTCTTTGCGGGTGAATTGACTGTTGTTGAATATGTGCAGATTTTGGGTTAATATGAAGTTTGAAACTTGTTCACCAAGTTTGTTTGTGGAATTATCATTCCATAGAGGATGCCTTGCATTAAAATCGCCCGTGAATAAAACAGGTAGACCATCATTGATGACTTTGTTTGCAATTGAGACAAAATTCTCCCATGCGGTGATGTTCTCAGGGGGGATGTATACCGAGCATACAAGGGTCGCAATGTCCTTTGTGTATACATTTGCCCATGCCGCTTCGACATCATCCCTCATGAGGTCATCCCGCTTAACAATTTTAGTATTGGGAGAAGCTATAATGGCTGCCCCCCCACCTTCCCTATTTTGTCTGATAGATGAGATCCAGGACCAGTCTTTGAGCCCAGCTTTCACAATGTTTTCTGATTTAGGGTGCCATATCTCTGTTAGGCAAAATATTGACGCATTAGGAGCTAAATGTTTAATGAATTTGGCAGAGGTGTTGATTGATTGAACATTGGCTTGAAAGAAATTCATTTTGACGTTAGATATGAAGATGGTTGCGGCAGCCAGTATAGTATGAATCATGTGACTAATGTGCATATTTACTCCTTTGGAGTTTGATTTCTTTAAAGATAATACAATTGATAGAGCTTGCTTTGTGGTTTTCTCCACAGTTTGCACACTTTGTTGAGTTTGAACACTTATTTCTGTGGGCTCCTCCACAGTTTTCGCATTTAGGTTTGTTGGTGCAACCCCTAGCCACGTGTCCGTACGACTGACAGTGAAAACACCTAGTAATTTTATGCTTGGCTGTGGTTATGGCTTGCACCAGCAACTCCTTGTTTTCTAGTTTAATTTTGGATTTAAATAAAGTAGCAAGGTCAGAGTGATTCTTGCAGGAAGCGACCACTATTGGCATCGCCTTACCACTGTCCCTATATTTCAGCCTCCTGATACTTACAGATAACCCTGTTTGTTCTTGTATAATCGCTGAAACATTCTCCGAGGTCACCTTATGGTTTACATTTCTCAGTATGCAGCGTGGGGACGGTGTGTTGTCATGAATATCCAGATCTAGTCCACTCCCTCCAAATGCGTCTTCGGGCCAGCTACTTAATAGGAGACTGCGCTGGTCCGGATCTGCTAGATGGATAGCTATGCCTCCTCTGCAAAGTTGATAGCAATGGGTAATTTTAACTGAGGGTTTAAATTTGTTAATTTCTTTTTTGATAGTTATACTGTCTTTGAATAGACCAGGGTTTTTAATATTATCCACTATGATTATGTTCCTTCCAAGATTTACCTCCTCAGTTGTATCTTTACTTCTTTTATTTGGGGTAGGTTTTGGTTTTGCTTCAACTGTCACTTTTACCTCTTTAGTTTTACATATTTGGGGTTTAAGAGGAGCTTGAAGAGTGATGCTATTGATGATACAGTAGGGACAATTAAAGACTGTATCAGACTGAGCATATATCGATAGAATTTCGCACTCTTCTTTATGTTTTCCTAACCCCAGGCAGTCAGAGTGCCACCATTGGTCGCAATTCGAACAATTTAGATAAAGACTGTCACAATCTTTGTTGCATGGACATTTGTCCAATTTTGGAGCTTTTAGCTTTTTTTGTGATTTTCTACCTTTTGGTGGCATTCCAGACTAGCATGGGATTACGTTATTGGCAATTCTGTATGCCGGTTGTATATAGATAGATATATAAAATAGACTCTCTGATATATAACAGGATAAAAATTTACTTTTCCGTAAAATAGACTATGCACATCAGTAACAATGTTATTTACACTATATACAAGTAGGAGTTGTAGACTGACATGAGCCTACTGGGTTTACCTATTTAATTGCTAATAACAGTATAGTTAGTTATGTTGCTACAATTATCTAACACCTGGATGATTAAGAGGCTCCAATTCCTGGTAGTTTTAAGTAGTACGTACAATGCTTCCACTATGTGCTGTGTTTGGAGAGTGTTAGTATTATGCTACAGACAAGTACAAACACTAAAACATATAAGCCAGGTATAACGTTGGAGTTGGGAAAGCAGTGTTACAACATGGCCCGTGAAAAGGGGCCTCAAGCACTAACAATGTAACATACCCTGTATTAGTATAAAGCTAAGTGGGTCTGTAAAATGCAGTTTAACTAGAGCTACAAGCTAGAACACAGTAATAAAGACATATAACACATAAAGCAATTGCCTGGGTTGCTAATTAGGGTTGCAAGTTATATAGCATAACTAGTCTATGTCTAAGTTCCAACATACCGTTTGTGGAGCTTATTCTGCGTTCTCTTTGGGTACACCTGTGGATAGACAGTTGTAATTAAAATGTTATTAACAGACACTGAATCAAGTCGAATTAGGGGTATGCCCCCTCAAAATAACACTTGCTAGAGTGTGTTTACTAGATAGACTACAAGTAGTTAAATTATAGAGACAGGAGAGTAATAAAGTAATAGCCTGGGTCTAAGGTACAGTCAGTTGAAATGATAATAATCAATACCATACGATGTTGATTTAAGAACTAACTTATGTTAGTTTCATAATACCAGAAAAAGACCTGGGTACACGAAGGCTTCACAGTTTACACAGTCCCGTCTTGTCTGGGGCGCTGATCTTTCCGCCGATTATTTCAAGATGGCGTCTTCCTCCTCCAAGTTGAAAAATTTTCACGACTCGTCAGAAGACTAGACTATTGTTTGGGCTCCAGTCAGTTCGTTTTCCCGATTTCTGCGTTGCAGGTGGTTCTCCTATCGATATACTATGATTTGGACCACTTTATTGTTGGGGTAGTGTCTTAATATTTCATTTATTCTCGAAATTTTGCAAGTAATTTTTCGAAACGTTCTAACTCCCGCGCATGCGCTCTCTTCAATAGAGGGCACTTGCTCTCATCACAAAAACCAGCTTTCAAATCTATCATAAATCTTCGTGAAAATGTGAGACATTTCTAGATTAATTGAATAAATCATTTAATAAGATGACAATTATTTTCTATTTGCCACCCATTTTGATATATGGATCTTATTTGGAGAGAAAACATAAAACTAAAATAGGCGTATATGTTGTCTGTCTAAGTCATGTGACTAATTCAAAATGGTGGCCAAAATTTTCTGAAAACAAACTTTTCCAATAATCTGACGCGTATTCCCTATTCATCGATAATTCATATATTATTAGGAATCTAACTAAGAAAGTAAGTTATTTTTTAAATATTTTAAAATTTTCAGACCAATCAAAGATATGAGTCAAAATATATTAGACGAAATGTCAAAGTAAAAATATATGTAAAAAAAATTTGGAACCACCTCCCTCTTCAAAAAATCAATTTCTGCATCCAATCGTTTTCTGATTCAAAATACAAATATTTTTGCATATCTGACATATGAATAGTGACATTTTTATTTTATTTTAGTAACCATGAGTGAATTTTGGTTGATATCCGCCCCAGGCGATAAAACCTGCCAAATGACATGGGATCGAATGAACATGGCTACTACAAAACAGAACAACCTTTCCCTCAACACAAAATTCCATATGCCAGATTTGAAAGTTGGGACATTAGATGTTCTTGTTGGTCTATCCGATGACCTTGGTAAACTAGACACCTACTGTGAAGGGTAAATATTCATCTAAACTAATGTTTGTTACCAATTGTTGTCTTTTTACTCAAGCTTCTACAGCTACTTTTTGGATTATTTAATCTATTGCTCTTTGGTATCTAACTCATACCTGGAAATAATGTATGGCTACTTCAATTGAACATTATGCAGATACTTTTTTGATTTCAAACACTAAAACTGCTAATAATCAGTCATACATGTTATTTAAGAAATATAGACCAAAGAGCTGGGGTAATATCGTTGAATACACCCCGCAGGGCTAAGCACAAATGTTCTCTGTACCCCGAACGACCAAAGGGAGTGAGGAGTTCGAAAGCTTTTGTGCCTAGCCCTAAGGGGTGTATTCGACGATATTACCCCTGCTCTGAAGTCTATATTACGATTCGAACATGAAAACTAACCAAAATGTTTTGAATATTCATTATGGTCCACCACTATTACGACCTGCCATTATGACGTCACACATTATACGTATTACCAGGGGTATTCTTCGCGAATATGCACCGGGTAAAATGTTGACTTTGTTTACAGTTTATAGAAGGCGTGAATACAGTCATGTTCGAATATACTATATAGTCATATTTACCTTAGTTCTATGTACTGGATCATCTTACGGTGGTATGCTCTGTAACATAAAATACAATATAGGAGTGGCCTCTGTTCATTGTTTTACAAAGATCTAATCTTTTTGAGGAGTTTACTACATTCATTGCATATTATTTTATTCCATATTACTCGCAAATTAGATCTATGGACTTGCATTACTGAAAGCGATTCATCATGTCATCATAATTATGTTATCATATCATGAAATATTATGTTATCATATCATGAAATATTATGTTATCATATCATGAAATATTATTCCAGTATTGCTAGAAAGGTATCTGCTTACCTTGGAGACGTTCTTGAAGAAAATAAAGATAAACTACAAGAAAATCTTCTAGCAAATGGAAGTAAGTACAGTACCAACTAAAAGGTGGCACTGCTGATTTGAATTTTGAATTATAATTTGTGTAAGGATAACTTGTACATGTATTATCTCATTATATATTGTGCATGGATGTCATTTGAATCTGGTCGAATGTTAAGAGTTTTGGCTCTTTTCTAGATATTAAATTTAATGCTATAAAAATTGTTTTTCAGTGGATCTAGCAACTTACCTGACTCGCTTCCAATGGGACATGGCCAAGTACCCAATAAAGCAGTCGTTAAAGAACATATGTGATATCATAAGCAAGGTAGATTCATCATTAATGGGATTTAAGACAATGTTTGTCATTTTGGCCTTGTTTGAAAACACATTTTCACCACATGTTTTTTCGTTGAAAGTTTTGAAATTCAAAATAACTATTAGTACATGTCGTACAGTATAGTAAAAAATTACATGCTTTACATATTAAAAGTTGTCAATTTTGAATTTAGAATTTCATATTACTTTTAAATTTGTTTTAATTTAATTTAAATTTGTTGTCTTACACAGCAAGTCAACCAAATAGACCAAGATTTAAAACAGAAGGCTAGTGCATATAATAACCTAAAGGGCAACCTGCAATCGCTGGAGAGGAAGGCTACTGGTAACCTACTCACCAGGAATCTGGGGGACCTCGTCAAGAAAGAAGACTTCGTACTTGGCTCTGAGTACCTAACTACACTCCTCGTTGTCATTCCTAAGTAAACCCGCTTTTTTTTTATTACACTTATTCTGCCTGTTTCAAAATAGCCAGCATAAGCCGTAAAATCAAAAACTACTTTTAATCGTACTGCTGAAATTAATATACTGTGTTTGTGTCCGTAATGGCACTAGTTTTAACCTTATTTTGGTTAAATAAACTTTCTATTGGATTATAAAATGTTGTTCTTTTTCCCGGGTACCAACAGCTCTATTAGCTCTTATTGACAGTGTATCGAGTAGAACTCTGTAAATATTGTTTGACGTCTGAAGAATGTCCTGCATCATTAGAACTTTAGTATGTTGAAAGCCTTTGTTGTGTTAAATGATAACTTAATTTTTTGCAGAATGAACGTAGATGATTGGTTCAATTGTTATGAGAAACTAACAGACATGGTGGTACCAAAGTCATCCAGGTAAGAGCATCTTTAAGCATAGTAGGCTTTTACGAGAGGGTCAGTGGCTGGGTGAATTTCAGATCTTTTTATTTGGGGCCAAATTGTAGGGGGCGCTTCCGCTTGATGTCATTTACTTTAACAAGTGTGGCAGCAACTGAGTATTTTTATTTCAGAGCCACATTGTAGGGGGCACCACCTTCTCTGATTCATTGCCAGACCTAGAACTCTTGAAAATAACTCAAAATAACCCCAAGACCTTTCTCAAGGAGAAACTTTGGGCATGAAGCTATTTTCTAAATCCATCTACCTAGAAGTAGTGTCTATCATTGAGATATTGAAATTCATTGATTTTTTGTTGAATATAGGATCTCATTATATCATTGTTATATGATTGGTAAAAACTGGGTCACATGTCACACGATATGAAAGATCAGATGATTTTCACTAGCCATGCTGTGAAAAACAGACAAAATCTGGCACTCCTTGGAATTCTGAGAGAAATTTATTTTGTCCAGTCATGGCAGGTGTAAACAGAGGTTCAAATCTATATGTATGCACTATTGTTCGTTGTAATAAATATTTTATAGGATTGTCTTTGAAGATAATGAGAGTGCTTTGCTGAATGTGACTTTGTTTACAAGAGTTGTGGATGAATTCAAGCACCACTGTCGGGAGAAAAAGTAAGTACAGGTTGAGCCAAAAAATGTAAATAAATAAAATGTTAATAATTCAGCCATTCAGCATTGCTCTCAAGGTTTACAGGGTGTCCAATAAATAAGGTGAAAGATATTGTAACTTTCTTAATATTGCACCAATCTTGTTGAAGTTTTCAAAGTTTGTAGCCCAAACCTTTTTACCTTTATTCTGTGAATTTAAAGCGTCTTCTATTTGAATCGTGCCATTATGACTGTAAACCCATGATGAATGACTTACTTATTATGAAGATTTCTTTGGGTTACATATGTAATACGTTCAAAATAAAAACAAAATTTTGATTTCTAGCTAAGTTAATTCAGACTACATGTATGTTGAGGTTAACGCTTGGGAAGAAATGTCAGAAATCTTTATCTATCATGAAAAAATATAGATTATGTAACTTTCCATATTTTTAGATTCATTGTGCGTGACTTTGTCTATAACGAGGAAGAACTGGCTGCTGGGAAAAATGAACTCACCAAATTAGCCTCCGATAAAAAGAAGTCATTTGTAAGTTTGCACATTTTTAAATAATTGTATTGATTCATCATGATTGACATTTAAATCTCAGTTGTTGACCTAAGAATGATGACTGCCTAATGAGGATCATCATAAATGTTAATGAATTCAGATAAAATTAGAAGATATCCTTTGGTTTTCAAAAAGCTTGTTCTATAACTTTAAGGCCATACGAAGTAGATTCTTTGTTTTGCGACCTCTTGCTTGCACGATTTTGAGTAAATCAGAAAAAACAAACACATCCAAATAGCATTTCGCAATGGTCTGAAAGTACCATAGCATTTTGTTCAATCAGAATCAGATGAAATGTCGGATAATTTGATTTTGTGTCAAAATTGACAGTGGTATTGATTACTTTGGCATACATTGTGTATTTTCTTATTTTTTACCCTTGAATAATAGAGAACAATAATGTTTAAGTATATTGTATAAAATGTATAGATATGTGTTTGTAATCACTGCAAATTGGTCATGTCATCCCTTTTTATGCCCATGAAAATTTCTCGGCAAACAAGTTTGTGTTTTTTCTTGAGTTTGTGTTTGTTTTCCTTGTACATTTGCATAACTATTTCAAACACTAAAATTTTTCATATGTTTTAGTATGTAACACAAATGCATAATAGTATATTATAAATCATGTTTATTGGTCTGTTGCAGGGTCCATTAGTTCGCTGGCTTAAGGTCAATTTCAGTGAGGCATTTACTGCCTGGATACATGTTAAAGCACTCAGAGTTTTTGTAGAGTCAGTATTAAGGTAAGTTTTTAAAGGCCCCATGCAAAGAAAAATGTTTAAGCTTTGACCAGGTTTAGACATTGTAAAATCAACTTAGCACTTAGTTGAGATAAAAACAGATGTTGGTATGGTTTACCTGTGAACACATTTACTGCCTGGATACATGTTAAAGCACTCAGAGTTTTTGTAGAGTCAGTATTAAGGTAAGTTTTTAAAGGCCCCATGCAAAGAAAAATGTTTAAGCTTTGACCAGGTTTAGACATTGTAAAATCAACTTAGCACTTAGTTGAGATAAAAACAGATGTTGGTATGGTTTACCTGTGAACAAATTTACTGCCTGGATACATGTTAAAGCACTCAGAGTTTTTGTAGAGTCAGTATTAAGGAAAGTCTTTAAAGGCCCGATGCAAAGAAAAATGTTTAAGCTTTGACCACGTTTAGACATTGTACTCGTAAAATCAACTTAGCACTTAGTTCACACAGGAATAGCCTGACAATGGTCGAGTCAGATACCGTTGTCACAAATGGCGGACATAACCGTCCCTTCAACTCTTTAATCACTTGGTCCTCTTTTCATGGGACTTTATCGTCGCTAATTCTGTGTGTGTGTTAAGCTCGTGTCATGATGTATTATATGAAATCCCAATTTCCAAACGGAATTTGAATTTGAAATAATTTACAAAGACAACGGAATATGGTAAGATGTGACAATGGACTATGGTGGATGTATTGTATTGGAATATAAGAAAATGACAACAGTAAATATACACCTCACAAGAAAAGTCAGAAGAGACACAGCTTTACAGCATGCCACAAATAACATAGTCATTTCTGTATTTAGGTATGGTCTGCCTGTGAACTTCCAAGCCATGTTACTGAGGCCCCACAAGAAAAATCAGAAGAGACTCCGTGAAGTGCTCACACAGCTTTACAGCATGCCACAAATAACAAAGTCATTTCTGTATTTAGGTATGGTCTGCCTGTGAACTTCCAAGCCATGTTACTGAGGCCCCACAAGAAAAGTCAGAAGAGACTTCGTGAAGTGCTCACACAGCTTTACAGTCACTTGGACAACTCTGCATACTCAGCTGTGGGACTAGAGGTAAATGCACACAAATAGCAAAAAATTAACAACATGCAATAAAAATCATTTGCAGGGCTGTAGTCAGAATCCAAAAATAGGCCAGGCAAATGCAAGGAAACACTTGAGCCTAAGAATATTATACTTCTCTGGGACATATTTTTCACAGTGAAAAACTGTGACTAGCCTGCCTGCCTCATGGATGGCTATGCCTATGGCTTTTAATCAGTCTATGCATTAAGACCAGTGTTTAGTTCTCTAACGGTGGACACGTGTATTAGGTCACACCCATAGCCTTGTTCATAGATAAACCCTATCTTTTGAATACTTTGAAAAGTTGAACAAAGCTGACAGAAATAGAGAAAATACCAGTATCAGCTCAAAAAAGTATATGTCATGGAATAATCAAATGTCAATCTTGTCATAAACATGTTTTGTTCCTTTACCACACGGCTACCTTGATGATACAATTTCACGATATTACAGTATCCCTAATCTGCAATATGAAAATACATCTGAGGTTTTACCTCATTTTTACTTATTTTGATTTTTAACAATAGACGCACAGTGAAAAATCTCCAACATATTTTTACAATAGAATTTTCACGTCCCCATCACAGGTAATGTATTCCTTATTCACATCTAACTGCTACAATGAATCTTGCGTGTTTGTTTTCCAGGGCACTATGGATATCCCTGGTCTGAACATGATCCAAGGCGACTATTACCCCTATGTCTACTACAAACTCAATATAGACATGTTAGAGAGCAAATTCTAGAACATGATCCAAGGCGACTATTACCCCTATGTCTACTACAAACTCAATATAGACATGTTAGAGAGCAAATTCTAGAACAATTTACCAACACAGAAACTTTAGGCAATATACATAGAGGACAAGTTAGTGATTTTGTTGCCAATCAAGGGGTCCTAAGAGATGGCTATTTCTTGAAGGAATTATCTCTCTAGCTCCTGAAGCTAACATTTTTAAAAACTGGGCTAGAATCCATTATGAATTACACACACTATTTTTAAGTAACAACCTCTAGTATTTTAATCAATGAATGTAACTTTCACATTTGGTCACACAATGCACAAACTAATCTATTTGACTGCCTCATTCAATTGTATTTATTAACATGTGCCGAGTGTCACTCAGATGAGACATTTCATGTAATAAAACTGTTACATTCAATATTTATGATGAAAAGGAGGGGTGTCCAAAAATTTATGAACCGTTTGTTACCTGCCTTATTGTGGAAAAAATTCATGCACTAGGTCTGTGTAAAGACAAATATTATAAAACTTTTGTTATGAGGAAAATGTTGATATGGTATCTATCTATGATGTTTTGGACAATCTTCATGGAAATAAACATGTCAACAATAAAAATGTCAACAAATAACACTGTATATGTATAGAGAACAAATCCCCAAAACTCACTTGATCTTTATTTCTTCTGCACAATCATCTCAATATTCTCAACATTCACAAACATTTGTATGAGTATTTATTGAACAGCCCTCGTATTTAGATGCATGTTAATCTTCCAGTTTCTGTGATTTGAATTTTCAGTTCAATATGAATGTAGGTGATGAACTTATATGCATTCCTAAGAGGTGAATATATATACAGGGTGACTTCAAAACAAACTGCCCACATTTTGTAATTAAGATATTACTGGTATAGGACTGTGATACACCACTAGAAAGTGATACACCATTAGAAAGAACAATGATTTCTAACAATATCCTTGATTGACTGATATATTTATTAAATAATTACATATTTGCATAACAAATGGTTCAATAAAAAGAAAAAATGTGGACAGTTGTTTTGACTTACCCTGTGCATTGTTACTTGTATTAAGTTGTATAGTTTAAATAATAGAAAATATAAAGGATGATATATGTATATTGGAGGCTGGTAGAACAGTGAAATATTGTAGAAATGTAGTGTTCTACATGAGCCTAGATATAATTGTTGTTGTTGTATGATGTCATAGAACAATTGTACAGCAAATCAATAAAGTGCAATACTAAACGTAAACAAACTTATCAGGTTTTTGTCCCACATATATAACAGGGTGGTAAAAAAGTGGAAACCATTCTGGAGTAATTTCTCAACAAAGATATGAGGAAAATGCAGGGTTTCCATTTTTTGACCACCCTGTATCTCAAGCAGCTAGCCCAAAAGTCCCTTCAGAGAATAAAGATCACATAATGTATAATTTAATTACTAAGTTTATTTATTTAATTTATTTGTGTACAGGTACATTACATTCATCTACAAATACAATGTAGAAAAACAAAATATTGACTAAATATTATAAGTAGAAAACAATAAATATGTGTTGGCCAAATGACTATTTTATAGCTATCAGAATTATCAGATGACATGGACGGATGGAAAGGAATGCGACTCTTCAAAATCTGGAGTATTCCCTTCAATTCAGTTTACAAATATACACCTCTGTGCATTATTCTTAAATAACTTGAATTCCTAAATTCTTGCAGACAGCCATTGCAAAATTTCAATCCAATTAAATATAAATCCTTCTAGCTCTCCATAAATAACTTGAATTCCTAAATTCTTGCAGACAGCCATTGCAAAATTTCAATCCAATTAAATATAAATCCTTCTAGCTCTCCATTAATAACTTGAATTCCTAAATTCTCGCAGACAGTCATTGCAAAATTTCAATAAAATTAAATATAAATTCTTCTAGCTCTCCATTAATAACTTGAATTCCTAAATTCTCACAGACAGCCATTGCAAAATTTCTATCCAATTAAATATAAATCCTTCTAGCTCTCCATTATAACTCGAGTCCTAAATTCTCACAGACAGTCATTGCAAAATTTCAATCCAATTAAATATAAATCCTTCTAACTCTCCATTAATAACTTGAATTCCTAAATTCTCACAGACAGCCATTGCAAAATTTCTATCCAATTAAATATAAATCCTTCTAACTCTCCATTAATAACTTGAATTCCTAAATTCTCACAGACAGCCATTGCAAAATTTCAATCCAATTAAATTTCAATCCTTCTAGCTCTCCATAAATAACTTGAATTCCTAAATTCTCGCAGACAGCAACATTTCAATCCAATCCTTCTAGTTCATCATCGATGGGTGGCCTGTCTGCAGTAGAACCTGCATTAGCTGCTAAGTCCCAGATCTTTTCCTGTAAAGTTTTCTCTACATCTTTCACAGTCACATTATTATGATCTTTATCATCAGATGTTGCTTTTTGTAAATTTTGTAACAACTGTTCTGATTGGTTGTTTCCTGGAGCACCCGTGGTATTTGATTGGCTGAGTCTTTGTGAACCTGTTTGTGATTGGTTGTTAATCGAAATGTCTTCGAAGTCCTCCATTACTTCTATTATAGGTTTATATGTGGCGGATGTCTGTGCTGTTTGTTGTATATCTTCGACGTTCACATCTTCAAGGTCTGGCAGATCCTGGAAATTTAAATTTCTTATAATGAATTTCAAGAGATTATATGAGTGAGGGTGCATTAAAAAGCCATCATTTAAACTTCAATTATATTTTAAAATGTTACATAGACACCGCATTTTCAAAACGCAAGTTTTGTGTCGAAAGAATCCTTTTCATTCAATTGAGTAGAAAATTAGGTGTTCATAGATGTAAAAACTATGCATTTTGGAACTGATTTAAATGTATGATAAAACTTGTTTTGACTTGAATCCTGTGGATTGCTTTAAAGTACAAAGTATCCCAGAGTATTTCTTCTTTACTGAATGGAAACCAAAGAAATGGGCTAAAATATCTATGTTATCATTGGTAAATATATTTTCAGTGAACTAAGAATCAATTCAATTGTGACTTCTTTAGAGGCATGAGTTGCCATTTGGAGCAATGAAGCTTTGAGGGCAGTTAACCCCATTGTACTCCATCCTGGTATTAACTTACTGAGGGGTGTGATTGTGTAGCATCTGATGCAGTTATCTCTTCTATTTCCTCATCTGGTATCTCAGTAATAAGAGTTTGACCAGTTGGTTCTAAGGGCTCCTTTACACGATCTGAATCTAACAAAACATGAAAATTGAACAGACGCTGAACAACGAACACCATCCACTTGTGGTGGTGACATAAAAAACATTATTACATGTAGTCATAAAACATGTGATAATTCACATTATTTATTGCCAACAATAAAACCCAAACAGTCATTATAAATACAAAGCTGTGCTCCAGGGGGGGGGGGGGGGTTTGAGCAAACTCCCCCTGGTCAAAAATGCTTTCAAAATCATGCAGTTTTCACCATTCTGAGCACTTTTAAATTCAAGTGATTTTGGCCATTCTTGGGCCAAAGTTGTTAAAAGTGAGCCACCCTGGAATTTTTCAAACGTGAACCCTAAAATTCTCTTTAAGATAATGTAATACATGAGGAGGGACAGTACTCACCTGAAACTATCTGGCTGAGGAAATCATTACTGCTGCTGCCTGGAGACTTTTTCTGCTTGGAGAATATGCTGTCATCCTCCTGTTGACTCCTTCCTGTAATAACTGGCATCTCTTCTAAAGTCTAAAACACCAACAGTATGATATCAGTTTAAAGAGGGCAGAGTGGACTCTATTTGCTCAAAAGAAACATCAATATTATTGTTATTGTTTAAGGTAGGCAATTTATGGAACAATTTATGGCTGGTTCTCTTTCAGTCTTTGCTCTTTTTCCATGAGCCCTTAGCACATATTTTTAATTTCAATTAGAAACATATATGATAAAATGAATTCAAATTTTCAACCAAAAAATTTTGACTCAGCTTATCAAGAATTTCATTTGATATCACATGATAAGATTCCATCCAATCAGAAACATCATCATTTGATGTCACATGATATGATTTGTCCAATCAGAAGCATCATTTACTGTCACATGATAGATTTTGTCCAATCAGAAACATCATTTGATGCCACATGATATGATTTGTCAATCAGAAGCATCATCCTCACCTTCTCAGTTTGCTGTTGATCCTCTTGCATCTTTCTCTCTCCACTGGGGTCATCAACTGTTCCATAAAGCCAATCAACCTTCTCCTTGTCAACAACAACTGGTTCATCTGGCCTGCCCTCCTTCTCATTTTGTTCCTTTATAGCTTTCTCAAGTCTATCTGCTTCTGCACGCTGGCGAATCTCCAACAAAGCTGAAAATTAACACAGATTAGAAAAGATAGGCGTTAACATGCAAAATGTCACCACCTACCATTTATTACAGATGCCGAATGCTGATAACAAAAATGTTGGAGACTATAACAAAATGTCACCACTTCTGGAGCTGATATGATAACGGCTAACTTTTCGAGAAATTTTATCACATTGCTGCTATAGGAAGAGGCTAACGAGGCATTTTCGGGAAAAATAACACTAATGGTGCTTCTTAAAAAGCAGGATAATGTAAAATGTAATGTTTATACATTATATTGGAAGCTGTTTACATTTGAAAACAAAATGTCACTACCTACCATTTGTTAAAGATGCTGAACTCTAAAAGCCAATTACCAAATGCCATCAAAAAAAGTTGGAGACCATAACAAATTTGTACCGAGAAAATTATGGGGTAAAGATAGTAGTTTTGAAGGAAATTCCACATATAGATATGTAACCACAGAGAAATATTTGATGCAGAGACACAAATATGGGATGTAAAATTTGATGTTTTCTTACCATCAACACTCTCTTTTATCTTGCGCCTTTCTCTGTTTACCCATTCATCTCTTTCTTTTTTCTCAGCCTCTACACCTCCTTTTGCCCAAGCCTCAGCACATGCACGGTCTTTGGGGAAAACAGGGCGATCATCTAGGTATGTCAGCTCCTTCTGTAACCAGCAAATGCAGCTTTATAGACAACTTGGTTCAACACAAGGAATTATGTATAAGGGGTATACTCACTCTAAATGATTTGGGCAGGCATATGCAGCACAGGAAATTTTGGCTTAGGGCATATACCATGGAACCTAGCCAATGTGAGAGGAATAATACGTGGAAAATTGTCGAAGAGAGAGCCTTTTTTAGTCAAAAAGCAGTTTTTCAATCAAAAAAAAAAGTTATTTCCTATTTTGAGTCATTTTTTGTACTAAGCTATATATTTATGGTACACCCAAATAGAAACATATTCTTACCAGTCTAACAGTCATTGTCTTTCTGTAGTTCTTAATCTTCTTAATGACAGGATTCCCCATCATAGTGAGTACTCTCTGAAATACATTATGTAGACATCGAGTGAAATACATTGTACAGACAAACACTGAAACATGCACAATGGAAAGCAATGAATCTTGAGTTATGTTACATCCTACAAAAACAGGGCCCCAGACAATGTGCAGACATTATTCACTATGTTCCTTCTTTCTTTCAAGATGAACGGGGTATGAGTTCTGGAGGCCCATGTTTGAAGGATGATAATTAAGAAACTAATCAAAACATATCTAAGCAGTATCAGTCAAAAAACTTACATGATGACCTCAGTTTGAATAACAACTTATTCAGAGTGTCACAATCACAATGCTAAAATACTTTAAGGACATAACTGAAAATGACTTATGGTAATAAAATCAAAGCTAGAAACAAATGAAATAAAATGAAATCTCAATGGCTTACCAAGTTTTTCACTTTTTCCAATACATCAATTATTTCAATGTCATCAATTTTATTATGGGATATATCTAGGACCCCCAGCTCTGGGCAATCTGCAAGTTCTTCAAGGTCAGCTGCATATTTCAGTCTGTTGTGGGAGATTTGGAGAGTGTGTAGGACAGGAAGGCACGCTGAAATATATTGACCACATGAACACAAAACAGATAGAGAGAACTTGAACGTTCACAAGATAGTTATTAATTTAAGTAGCTGAACCTTATAGACCACATGTAAACAAATAGTAAAAAAAGAAAGTCTGCTTCGAAGCATTTTTGGGTGCACTGTACTCATATTATCCGTTCTTCCACCCAAGTTTTGCTTGATTCATAGAATAATTTTGAAATAATGTATGTTTATTAAAAAGTTTTGTTTCAAAAATATTGACAAACAAGGTTAGCACATGATCCAGTTTTTAAGGTACTAAAAACTATACTTCTTTTTTAAAATGAATTCAGAATAATGTTAATCAATTAATATATGTAAGCTTACCAATGTTTTCAATTTTTTGAATTTGGTTGTTGCACACATTCAACGTATCAAGTCTCTGTAGAGGTTCCAAGTTCTCAAGTTTATGAATGACATTTTGTTGTAGATAGAGACACCTGAGTTCTTGCTGTCCTTCCAAGTTTTCGATGGTCCTGATGCCATTACATTCGAGCCAGAGACATTTAAGTCCTGTATACTCCTCCAAGCATTCGATCTTTCCAATACCTATAGCAAGAAAGAAATGAAATACAGTATAGTTAAACCTGGATATCTGAACACCTCTTTAATCCGAAAACCTTTCAATGTGAACTGTTTAGGGTCCCATTTTTTATTTGACAAAGACTTCCATGCTGAAAACTTGAATTCAGATTAGATCAGCTTTTCTGAATTGCCTAATGCTGAAGCTTTTTTTATTTCAAAAACATAGACCCGTGTAAAATCATATGCCACATATTGAGGTGCTAGATCACTTGAAGATTGATTTTCCATATAAAAGCATCTCTTTCGCTTAAAATGCAATGGAACACCTCACAAGTGGAAAAGTGTTTTTAAAGTCCCATGGCCTATCTACTCCATGTTAATAAACCTCTGTAGGTGAGATACCTCCAAAGTGGAAAACTTTGTGGTCATAAGGGTGTTCCACTTACACAGGTTCTACTGTACATGTTATAACAAATCCTTTATAATGTACATGTATATGGTACAACATGATAATGCAAGTATAAAGTGTACCATTATAATGCAATGCAAATACTAGAGACCATATAGTATATGATGAAAATATTGAACATAACATACCTTTATAATGCAAATACAGAACATCATTGAGAGCTGGGGTCATATAGAGTTTTAAATCTTTACAATGTTGCTTCAGGAATTTCTTGGTCAACCTGGAAAAATAATAATACACAAATGGAACAATTATAGGTATAACAGGGTTAAAAGACATAAAAAATAAGAATGGACGACACAGGGGCGGATCTGGGAACCAACAAGGGGGGCCCAAATATCAGGTCAGAGAAAAAAGCTTCTAAATTTTTTGAAATTTTGAGGCCTATTTTCTTCAAAATTTGGCCTGAAATTAAAAAATTAGGCCTTAAAAGGCCCAGTAATGACCAGAAAGGCCCACTTTTTGGAGCCTTATGGCCTCTTTTGCCCCCCCCCAGATCCGCCAGTGCAACTAGTCTGAGAATCAATGCTGCTAAAAATCATTTGATTTAAACATGTACCGGACAATATGAAAGAAACCCCAGTATCCCAAAAATTGTAGTACTGTAATCAACATAATAAAACCTGTTTATATTGAACATTTTTAAAGAGATTAGAATTCAATTCACACATAAGTCAGTAGAATATGTGCGGAGGAAGGGTGTCCACTAGAGACATATGTTTACTAAAGAGAGGTGTTCACTGAGACAGGTTCTAGTGTAATTAAATAAGCTACCTACCTTGGGTAGTTCTTCTCTTTTGCTTTATTCTCTTCATCTTTCTCCTGTTTGTCTTTGGGAGGATCTCCATCTCCAGAGCCTGTTGCAACAAGAGGAGTTGTGTTATCCTTGGAACCTGGAACATTTTTTGGGAGGTTTTTATTTTTCTATTGTGAAGAGAAAGGCTGGGGACATTCTTGGCCTCATTTGGAACACTAACGCTTCCTAGTCAACTCGTATCCAAGACAACTGGTACCCAAGACAACTCGTACCCAAGATTATTTTAAGTATTATGGGTGCATATTAGGGAAAAAATTGAGTTTGTGTAATAATGTTTTCATATTATAATTTGAATCAAATAAGCCTCAATATTTTTTTGAATTTAGAAGACATTTTTCTCAATAGATCAGGAAAGCATTTTGATTTAACTTGGATCAGCTTTTTTATTAAATAAAAGAATTGCTTGAAGCACTTGTTCTCAACATTTTTTGTCAAACATATATATAAATAAATATAATTACAACATTAGATCTGATACTTGTTCCAAACTACCCTGCGTGCAGAGTCTAGTTAAACTACACTCTGCCTACCATATTGCAGTTTAGTAGCCCCGCCCCCACGACGGGTACCGGTGACAGTTTGGGAAATAAATCACTTCTGACCTACGTGCTGACCTTTCTTCCCCCAATCAGCAAGCTTGAAGAAACATAGCCAAATGCGTTCTAATTAAATATGCGCATGTAATTGCTCAATTCCGGGCTCAACGATGACGTCAGAAGGAATGATCATATATAGAACGTCGGTCAAATTTGGCCGACGAACATTGATTGGCGCGGTGAGTTCACAGGTTTATTTTAGTTTGAAAGAGTGAAGACGAAGCTCTCTTTTAAGAAGTGAAATCAAACGAATGCAAAGGGTAGTTCCAAACACTCATAAACATACAATATTTTGAAAAATGATTATGAATATGTGGACTAAAGGAATGTGTGACTAATCAAAATAAATTGACACTCAAAGCTCAAAATGTCACAAAATTAAATCAATTTCTTTCCAAAATTCTTCTTCAAACTTTAAACTATTCTGAACAGTATGTTACAATTACAATATGTATATCTATTGACATTCTCAGTCCAACGCTTGATTCAAAGCAAAATATATACTTGGGTACGAGTTGTCTTGGGTACCAGTTGTCTTGGGTACGACTTGTCTTGGGTACGAGTTGACCAGTTACCACACTAACCAGTGGTCTCCACAGGATTTTTTCTCAAGTGGGTGCAAATTTATCATTGACATTTTTCAGATCAAAATTAACAAAAATATGCCTATTTTTCTCATTTTCAAGTGGGTGCAAATGGATTTTCAGGTGGGTGCAAGCAGGGTTTCAAAATCTCAGGTGGGTGCTGCACCCACTTGCTTTAATGCTTGGGAGATTTACTCACTTCGAGAGCCATGTTAGATTTTGAAACTTATGGCTCTCAAACGGGGAAGTGAACAGCTGATTAATAGTGACCTTTGAAATCGAATTAAGTCGATCCGCGGCTTACTTTTGGTCTCTAACTGTGTCTTACATCAGTATCATCAATCCGTGTAAGTATTTGAGCGCTGAAGTACTTCCTTTTCGATCAAGACTTGTAATTCTTAGTCGAGTGAATGTTTTTACTGCCATATTCCAATATGGCGTTTTCTGCTCGGATATTTTCGTAAATCTCCCGAGGTTGTCCGAACCTAACTAATTCTCAAAATTCATTTCGTTCGTTGCATATCTCGCTCCTAGCAAACCCCCATATTGGAAATATGTCTAAAAAAATTTCACTCGATGAACAATTTACAAGTCTTGATCGAAAAAGAAGTATTTCAGCACTCTAATACTTACACGGATTGATGATACTGATGTAAGACACAGTTAGAGACCAAAAGTAAGCCGCAGATCGACTTTATTCGATTTCAAAGGTCACAATCATTCACAGGCTTTCGCAGGAAGTAATGGGAGATCACTGAATTGTAACCAAGGTGATGACAATCTACAAAGTGCCAATTGTTCTACAGACACAAGAATCTGAAGGAATTTTAAGGTAATAGTGGTACATCATACATGTAATTTGAATCCATTTGTTCAAGTAACTTACCAGTTTCGTCTATAGTTTTGTTGTCTGCTGGTTGTTTTGATGAAGTAGTAACATCCTCAATAAGAATGGGGACTGATTTTTCAAAACGGACATCTTCAATAAGTTCTGATTTGTTTTTTCCTATAGTGACATCTTCAACATGGTTTGGTTCGGGATTCTCATTGGTGTCATCTTCTATGAGAATTTTTGTTGAGTTTACTTTCTCTGGAGCATGTGATGTCTCTTCGATGACTTCTATGAGTGGCATTTTAACTGAAACAAAATATACTATAGATTCTATGTTTTCACTAATCTCTATAGCCTGATGCAAGACCTAGGACTCGATTGATTCTTTTGCTGAAAAATTCTAGAAAGTTCAACGCAATCTAATTTACCATTTGTTCGATTGTACCACACAAAATGCAACTTTTGTATATCTAGGCAACAAAAATATATATAATGATTTAATACTGATGTAGATACAAAGACTTTTTACCTTTAAATTGATGATAAACGGCAATAAAAACAAAGAATTTGATTTCCGAGCACCTGCAAATTCATCAATGGCGTCTGTTACCTGGCAACTTCTACTTCCGGTGGTGGACATTAATTGGCGACGTAATTTTGATTTGGCGAAGCTTTTCAATTTACTAACATGGTAAACTGTAGGCTACTCTTGAAATTATCAATCCCACCAAGACCCGATACACCAATTCTCTCAAAGATAGAGTTAGCTGAACTTTGAACAGTTGAATGGATTCCATCTCCCCCACATTTCAACGAAACCAAACTACGATCTTGTACAGTATCAACAAACAATTTATAGTTATACTTAATTGTCATCGATCATGTAAAGAAGTATATGTATATCATCATCGAATTTATAATCTTTTTTTCTGTGAAATAATCAAACTCACCTTTATCTGCCAGTACATAATATAGGCTAGGCCTATTTTTGTTTTAGGTGACATTAATTGGCATGTCTTCAGGGATGATGTTTTTAACCTCTTGAATCCCAGACTCTAAAATCAGTTGGAACCAGAGAATTTTTCATTTTTGGCACATTTTGGAATTTCTCTACATACCAACAGCCCATTTCACTGTTTTATTGCATCAGTAGAACCCCAAAAATAAAAAATAAGGAGACCATTGTGCAATAATATATGGAAAAGTATATTCATATTGTACATGAATGACATTTGTATATTCAGATTATTTAGTTTTGAAGCATCAAAATATAAGAGGCCACACACTTTATTAGCCAAACTAGAAGCAAATTAACATAAACAAATGTCATTTATGTACAATAGGAATAAATTTTTCCATGTATTATAGCATAATGATCTTATGAAAATTTGTCAAATTCCTGGGGATTTTGGTGACTATTTAATTTGATTTTGCCAACTTAAAACGCTCGCCTAATTAAAGACAAAATTAATACAGAAGCCTAACCCTCATTCTGATTGTTGGAAATGGTAGCTGATCCAATCTAATGATTCAGAACTAGAATTGACCAAAATAGATGGCACAAGGCATTAACATGCAAAATGTCACTACCTGTCATTTGTTACAGACACCAAACACCATTTCGTTACAGATGCTGACTGTCAAACACTGTCCAAAAAAAGTTGGAGACTATAACAATATATCACCACTACTGGTGGCGACATAACAATACATCACACAAAAGACATTTTATTCAATTTTTAAAACATTTTATTTTTTACAACCTTTAGATTGAACTTTAAAAAGTCATGATGCCACGATCCAACAATACGGCCATACCGAGAATGTATGATCATGAAGCAATTGAGTTTGAATGGCGATTCACGAGCCCTCTCACAAGACCTAAACACAAAAACTTCCCAGATAATAGCTTGCAAAAATAACATGCAATTATCTGAGAAAACACACATATTTTTATGATTTGTAGTTTTGTACATACAATTAACAGATTTTATTTGAACAAGTTTTAAAGGTAGTCAAATTCTTCACCTGTTACTGCCAAATGAAAGGGCTGATCAGTTGAAAAAGTCAACAATAACCACAAACAATTTCAATCTATCAGTTCTTACGTAAACTGACTCTAAGCTTTCAGAACAATCAATAAATAAGTCAATATAAGTGAAGCAGTCTGTACAACACAGATCCAAGAATTTAGTTAATTGGTTTCACATTTTTCACATTTTCATCGCTTTCACATTTTTCATTCATAATTGAGATTTACTAAGTTTGGCAACTTAGAATTTGATTGACTGGACAAACATCATTTTACAGTAACAAATCCTACTGTAATTGTACATTATATAAGCATTAAACAAACAAATTTATCTCCTTAAATTCATAGTTCATTAAGAAATATTAACATCTTTAGTATTCATATTAATAATCTCTATGAGCTACGTAATATTTGACATTTCATTTTATAGAAAAATACCTGGAGGCCACAGTGAAATATTATGTCATATACACAGTGAAAATGAGTTGAGAAATCGGGAATTATACACACATTTTTAAGGATCCTAATTAGTACAAACGCCAAGCAAGCCAAACGAGCTTGTGATCTTCTAAAGAACACGAATTTAAGTATTTGAAGTTCTATAAATAACTCCACGTATTCAATAGCATTCTTTTACATGAACAAATCATACTTCACAATACAATTCAAAGTAGATAACTTTTACAACCAAGAGTTGGAGATAATATCTATAAAAATAAGCTATGTTCAGATGGCAATCCACTACAGAGCAAATGTTTCTAGAGTAAAATTTAAGGTCGATGAGTGGTATGATTTGGACCTGTTTACAGGGGAACTTCTACCCTCACCTTAACCCAACCAAGACTGAATAGAACAGATTCTGGTAGTTTAGCAGCTAATCGAGACATCACAAATAATGGGTGCAAGTGTAGGCCCGTAGCCATGGGGGGGGGGGGGGGGGGGGGGGTTCGATGGGGCCCCCCTGGCCAAATATAAAACTTTTCACCATCCTGAGCACTTTTTAGTGATTTTGGCCATTTTTGAACCAAAATTGTCAAAAGTGATCCCTCCCTTGGCAAATCCTGTCTACGGGCCTGCTAGTGTGACCAGCGGATAATGTACACAATTTCGTAGATTTCATCTAGTGTTCAGATATAGTTGCACAATTTACACAATATCAGAATGGTGTGCATTCACGTAGCATCTATCCTACACTGTACATAATTTGCGTGTATATCCACAATGGTATCTGGCATCCTACTTATTATTTACAGTGTCCACTTAGAGCTGTTGCTTGTGAAGTGTCTTTATTTTAAAATAGTTTGTAATCTGTATGTCTATCTGTATGTAAAATCCACCACTGACACCAGGTGCACTTGATTTAATTCACTGTTGTATTTCAATGTGCCTTGATAACTGGTAATGTGCCTTGATAACTGGCAATGTGCCTTGATAACTGGCAATGTGCTTTGATAAATGTTTGAAATGGGCTCATATACAAGGTTTTGCAACACTTAACATGCCTGAGATACGATATAACGTTAGTTGTTCACATGTTCCATAGTTCGTTATATCTTCAAAAATGAGCCTACGTCCAAGTTGTCGGTTAATGCTGCCCAAAACTAGCTAGATATTTCCATACATGCAGCATTCACTTGCTTCAGCGGGATCAGCGGGGAACATTCAACGCCAACAGCCTGACTGTTAGTTGCTATGTACAATTGGTAATCACTAGGGAAATGAATGGTGAACTATGGTTGCTATGGTTACTGTTGTTTACATTCAGCGGGTTTTGCAGGATCGCCCTATTAAATACACAAAAAGAAAAAAGTTAAAAAGAATTATTACTAAGTGAAAATACTGAGTTGGGTAAGTACTGGCATGATAGCAGCTGGCATAAATAGTTATTTTAAATCATACAAAAATTGCTAAAATGCAAAATTGTGAAAATTTTAAATAGCAATTAACCAAGAAGTAAAGTAAACATGCCAAACTCATGCCAGTTAATCTTGGAAACTGCAAGTAGTTTTCACACCCAAGCAGAAAAAGCATTCATATAACAGTATAATTAATATGAACCATTCACTGCTAATTCCTGATAAGACAGACGATCAATAAAATCAATTGTCCATATTTGGTATAAATGTCACAAAGCCACATTTTGAGCGTCACAATCATTTTTTCTGTCATGATCACGATTTCATCAGAGAAGCTTCTCTTCATACTGAAATGATGAAAAGAAGTGAAAGAATTAGCTTTAACTGCTGACATCTTTTTCTAAAGTAAAGATATTAGGCTTGTTTCAGTGTTTATAGATGTTGAATTGAATCACAATTTATACGATTCACTCGATACCGAAGTTATTTTTTAGGATTAGGAACCCTGTACTTCCATCCTCCCAAGCAGGCATCCGGAATCCGTACCTCCTTCTCCCCCCTGCTATAACCAATTTGGAAGCGCCCAATTAAACTGAATCACGTGATCTAATTAATATGCGCAATGACATAATTTCTAACGCAGTGTTGCGACAGCCAATCAAATTGCGAGTTCTTAATCGGGGAAATGCTAACTGCTTATCGCAGGGGGTAAAAAGAATATATTCTGGATTTTGAAGCCCTGTGATCGGAGGATGTGTACTTCATATTATATCAGATAATTCTATAGAAGCAAATGTACCATACAAGTAAATATATATAGAGAAATTATGAACAAACCTGTGGGGGCACATAGTCTGGGTCATTGTCTTCATCTATATCATCATTGTCATCTTCCTACAAACAAACAAATACACAAATATTACTTTTAATACATTGCTGTTATTGTATCATTGGAATGTTTCTCATTTTCTCATTGGATAAGAACATATCACATGATTAACAAGGCATTTACACGCAAAATGACACCACCTGCCATTTGTTACATATGCCAAACTCAGAACACCGTTAGAGACCATAATAATATGTCACAACAACTGAGAAAGTAGTTCCAGATCTTACCTCTTCCTCTTCACCTTCCTCCTCGTATTCATCCTCATCTAATGCTTCCCCAGTGAAATATAGTACAGCACGGGGAACAATGCGCTCTCTTATAAAGTGTCCAATCTCAAAGTCTGCGGCTAATAGAGCTTCAGTATCTTCATCGACCTCATCTTCACCCTCTGGCGCTGAAACATCGATTTATTTTATTCGATACTGGGAATAGAGATTTCCAGTTTTTGTAATATATTTTTCAATTTTTCAAAGCAGCTAAAACTGCAGAGGATTTTTTTTGAAGATTGTGAATTGTTTTCATCTTTTTTAATTAATTAATTTCGAATACTTTCGGGATCTCCTCTAATTTTTTTGACTTGCAGATCTCGACTACAAGGATTTTCTGCATATTCTTGTTTGTTTAGAAAAACATATTAAAATTGCCAAATTTGAATTCTTGGTATAATTTCTTTTGGATTATTTTGAAATATTACATCAAAAACAAATTGAAGTTTGAGGATGGCATAGTACATTATACAATTAATTTCATGAAATAAATTTCATATTTTAAATGCTTTCTAGAAATCTAAATTGATTTAATACCTTCTGGTGGAGCGAAAAAGTTGAAAAATGAGTCGTTCTGTACAGTTTTGGTAACAGTGCGTTTTGTTCCTCGTCCTTTGTGTTTCTGAGTTTTCTTTATTAGCTTCACTGTGACATTCTTTCCTTTCTTCCAATCTATGCTACATCTGAATGCACAAAGAAATAACAATATAATGATGGACATTTATATTGAAGTTTCATTACAAATTAACATGTAGACATTGACTGTAAATTATACATGTACTGCATCTGATTATACTGAACAAACTAAAATTTTAAGATTTTCAACTCATATGAAAACAAGGCAAAATGTCATTACTTGCGGTTTGTTTCAGATGCCAACCACTGATCGTCAACTGTCAAACACCATCCACAAAAAGTTGGAGACTATAAAATATGTCACCATTTTCGATGGTGACATAAAAAATGATTTCACTTACCCTTTACATTTGATTATCTCTGGTCCCTCAAATGAGAATGGGTCTGCCTCATCAGGTTCACTGCGCATGATATACTGCTTTGTTAACACTGTGTTTGTGAAGTATTCATTACTATCAAAGTGGAAATCTAGAGTGAAGCCCTACAAATATATAGCAATATATAACAATGATTATGATATACTGCTTTGTTAACACTGTGTTTGTGAAGTATTCATTACTATCAAAGTGGAAATCTAGAGTGAAGCCCTACAAATATATAGCAATATATAACAATGATTATGATATACTGCTTTGTTAACACTGTGTTTGTGAAGTATTCATTGCTATCAAAGTGGAAATCTAGAGTGAAGCCCTACAAATATATAGCAATATATAACAATGATTATGATATACTGCTTTGTTAACACTGTGTTTGTGAAGTATTCATTGCTATCAAAGTGGAAATCTAGAGTGAAGCCCTACAAATATATAGCAATATATAACAATGATTATGATATACTGCTTTGTTAACACTGTGTTTGTGAAGTATTCATTGCTATCAAAGTGGAAATCTAGAGTGAAGCCCTACAAATATATAGCAATATATAACAATGATTATGATATACTGCTTTGTTAACACTGTGTTTGTGAAGTATTCATTGCTATCAAAGTGGAAATCTAGTGTGAAGCCCTACAAATATATAGCAATATATAACAATGATTATGATATACTGCTTTGTTAACACTGCGTTTGTGAAGTATTCATTGCTATCAAAGTGGAAATCTAGTGTGAAGCCCTACAAATATATAGCAATATATAACAATGATTATGATATACTGCTTTGTTAACACTGCATTTGTGAAGTATTCATTGCTATCAAAGTGGAAATCTAGTGTGAAGCCCTACAAATATATAGCAATATGTAACGATGATTATGATATACTGCTTTGTTAACACTGCGTTTGTGAAGTATTCATTGCTATCAAAGTGGAAATCTAGTGTGAAGCCCTACAAATATATAGCAATATATAACAATGCTTATGATATACTGCTTTGTTAACACTGCGTTTGTGAAGTATTCATTGCTATCAAAGTGGAAATCTAGTGTGAAGCCCTACAAATATATAGCAATATATAACAATGATTATGATATACTGCTTTGTTAACACTGTGTTTGTGAACTATTCATTGCTATCAAAGTGGAAATCTAGTGTGAAGCCCTACAAATATATAGCAATACATAACAATGATTATGATATACTGCTTTGTTAACACTGTGAAGTATTCATTGCTATCAAAGTGGAAATCTAGTGTGAAGCCCTACAAATATATAGCAACATATAACAATGATTATGATATACTGCTTTGTTAACACTGTGTTTGTGAAGTATTCATTGCTATCAAAGTGGAAATCTAGTGTGAAGCCCTACAAATATATAGCAATATATAACAATGATTATGATATACTGCTTTGTTAACACTGTGTTTGTGAAGTATTCATTGCTATCAAAGTGGAAATCTAGTGTGAAGCCCTACAAATATATAGCAATATGTAACGATGATTATGATATACTGCTTTGTTAACACTGTGTTTGTGAAGTATTCATTGCTATCAAAGTGGAAATCTAGTGTATTGTAATGTAATGTATTTATAATATGAGGCGGATTCATTTTTGGAATTATAGATCAGTGAGAGAGTGGACTTGAGTTTTCATGTCAAAGTTGAATGGGGAAATGAGATTTAGTGAGCTAATTTGGAATATTTCAACAGTGGAAGTGAACACCCAAAAGCATTCCATCACCATAGCAACCTATTCTTCCAATTTGGAGTCTGATTCTACACAGTATATACCATAGGGTCTGATTCTACATTGAACATACCATTGGGTCTGATTCAGTGAACTTGACTTTGATATCTTGTAAGTGGTTAAGGACGGGTTCATCATGCTCTTGTACCATCTCTGCCAGCATGTCAACATTCTTGAAAACTGTAAGCCAGAAGCTTGGAATTCCAGTTGGGTTCTCTTCTTCACCATCCTCTTTCTTGTCCTCGATGGCTGCTTTATCTTTAAGGTCATCCTAGATAACAATGATTCAACAGAATAATTCACTGAATTTATCTGTATTTATAAGCATAACTTTTAATCAGGATAATGATTTCATGTCTTAAACCTATTTGTTCTGAATTATGTGTTGCACCCTTTATATTTGGGATAATGGGCATCGTCTAAGTTACAAGGTATAAATAATGAATAGAGCTAATAGCATCTTTTGCATAATGTTTGCATATTTAAGTCCAATTGGATTCCCAAATCTTTCTTGGGCCAATCCTGACAACCAGCTCTTCTGTATCTTAATTTTAGGGAACATATACATCACTTGTATGTCTCCCATAAAATTCCTCAATGAAACTGTGATGCAAATTCCTAAACACAAGAGCATTTTCTCAAAATGGCAACAAAATGAATTAGGGGGAGAATCAAGTGTCACCAGAATGAACAGACTTCTTAAAGTAAGTTCTGAATACCACAGAGATTAAGTGGTTTAGTGGCCTCAAGTTCTTATAGCATCCAGCATGCTTTGAATTTCACAAAGAAAAGCATCCAAGAGAACAAGAACAGTGGATATTACACATTCATATGCTATGCTACCACTCAAGTTCCCAGGATGAAACTGAGATAGGCTGTTAGCTTTAATGTACTGTACGGCACGCCTGGTAATCATTTGCCATGAAAAACGGATGATCTTGGATTTTAAATCAGTAGATGACAGGTACCTACTAATGCATATCTATGTAAGTACCTTCTCTCCACTTACAGCTAGTTTGTCTGCCTCTGCTTTTTCATCTTCTTCTTCATCATCACTTGGCCACTCTGCGTCACTATCTGTTGGCTCTGTACCACCAGTCACAATGTCTTTTCTCTAAAATAAAAAAAATAAATGGATGAATGAAACAGGTCAGAGCATCACTTGGCCACTCTGCGTCACTATCTGTTGGCTCTGTACCACCAGTCACGATATCTCTTCTCTAAAATAACAAAATAAATGAATGAATGAAACAGGTCAGAGGCAGGGCACTCTGTGTTTGCAAGACAGGTGAGTGAGAAATATCACAGCAACATAAGCATTGCACAATACGGTGGCTCTAGTCTTGTGTCAATCCTCTAGTCCTTAGCCCCTTTAATTCCCCCAGATGCAGTTTCAAGGGGAGGTGGTGAAACAAGGGTTTGATACAAGACTGTTATATTCACCAAAATGCCTTTAGTTTTGAAGATGAAGCCAAATCTTAGGTACGGATTTGCAAAAATCAATAAATTCAGACTCTGCAGTCTGTTTTGGCTGAATTCATTAGAGCTTCATGACATCATTTTACCTTCTGAAGCTGGGAAGAACCTTACTGAGGCACTGAAAACTTATTCAGGTCAACCCTGTTTTGGTCTATGCAACCAAATGAGTAAGAGATCAATATTCTAGAAGACATGCACTTAGATGTGTCAACTATTTCGACTACATAACTGCTATTGTTTTGAATGGATATATATTTCTTACCCGTTCCATGAATGGAGCATATTGTGTGGCGTATTTGCACTCTAAAGCATGGACTTCTTCATAAAATTTAGCTTCAATTTTTGTCATCTCAAATTGTAATTTCTTGAGGGCCTTGATGCGACGTTTCACAACCTTTGGTAAGCTGGAAGTAATAAACAAAATAAACAAACAAATCAAATGATCACTTTGGCACACAGTTAATCCATTTCATCCCCAGTGACACCCAACTAAGAATTTGACAAAAATCATGCCAGTCAAACCAAAGCCTTTTATTTGTAAACAAGCCATGTGATAAATAGGGCACGTCGAACAGCGAAATGACTATGTAATTAACCCAACATTCCAAATCAGACCTTGGCACTTGTCTGCTTTTGCATCTGTAAAATTTTAAGTTGGACAGAAAAGCTGTTTTCCCAGAAATTTGATGACCAGATTCATGTGACACGCGTCTGCCCGCTTCGAGACCCAGATGCAAAGTTTGCACAGGTACACACACCCAGCAGCAACTATAGCATTTTTTCAGTCTGATAAAGACACCAAAAAACAAGGAAATACTTTGAAAAATACCACTTCACAAGTATTGCCATTTAAGACCCAACACTCACCTCTGTATGTAACCAGATGCAGTTCCCACCATGCCACCGAGACGATCCTGGAGTGCCGCCAGAACTTCAGGGTTCTGCATCAGTTGACTAGCAATAACTGCAGACTCAAGGGTTTTGCTGTCTACAAGTACAAAAACAGAACATATAGTGCATTACTTCTGGGACAGCCCTCATATTTATAGAGCTTGAACTAAAAAGAACAAGGCTTTCAAGATTCAATCATAAGTTTCATTTTGGTAATTTAACAAGATGTCTATTAAGTTACCATATTGAAAATCTGTTTGCACCTGCAAAAGGGTGAAATATTAAACCATTTTGGCCAAATCAGTTTAACCTGAACTTTGCAAAACTCTGTTGAAATAAAATCAATACGTAATTCAACAAAGAGGATTGGCTCCCGGGGATGCAACTCAATATATTTTCCAGAGAATGTCAAAATTTCTTTATTTCTAAAATTATGAATGACTATAAATTCACATTCATAAGACCAAAACTTGTGATTCAAATTTTGATGTGAACAAAATGGCGGCTATTCGAATTTTGTAATCCCGACATCTCCATATATGGCAGAATATTGAGTTGGAACCATGGAAGCCAATCCTCCTTGGTAATTCTCTGTATAAAACATGACAATGACACCCGATCACACCAAGCAAACTGAATGATTTGGGGGTCTTAACAAATCAATGGTTTCATCAGCAACATTTTCAGCCTTACCTCCAGCATCACCTCCTGCGTCTTCTACTTCCTCGATGTCATCGGCAACATCAATAGCAGTTTCCTCTTTCCTACAAAAAACATTCAGAGGGATTATTTTATATGGATGATTCTCCAATAATTGTCAGTGTAATACTGTGACTATTGGGTATTTTGTGAATCAAATCAGGGCCGAAAACTTAAAAATTACAAGAGTTTGATTTTGTAGACAGCTGAAATTTTCTTAAACCATTTTGACCAAATTAGTTTAATCTGAACTTTGCAAACACTTGAAGTAAAATCAAAATAAAATCTTGTAAAATTCTGAACAATGAATATTCAGAAATCCATTGTTGTAACAACATAGAAAAAATCATGTTGTCATTGTTTAAGGAACAATGGACTTATGAATTCATAAACTAGAAAACAGCAACTCCAGAGCAGCAAATCCCACAAAACAAAACATGTTTTGATAAATAGCGGCTATCTTGAAAACTTCTTGAATAGAGCTACTTTATAATATATAAATATATAAAATCTTAACAAAATCCATCCACAAGTAGTTGAGTTATTAAAGATGTTTTTTTAGAAAAAAATGGTGACCATTTTAAAATTCAGCTGCCATCTTGAACAGAGCCCCTTTGTCCCTAGGCATCAGCATACAAAATTTGAACCACATCCATCAACTGGTTTTTGGATTTATATCAAAGATTACATTTTTACAAAAATGGTGACCTTTTTTAATTCAGCTGCCATACAGAAAATTCCTTCTTGAGCAGAGGTCCTACACCAGTAACGCATAAGCCCATAATTTGAATCAAATCTATCAACCAGTATTTGAGTTATTGCATGGACACACAGATGAACAGACGGTCAGTCGAATGGTCAGATGTCTTTTCTATATATCCCCTCGAACTTTATTCAGTGGGATAATTAAAGGATGCTCACAGAAATGTATTCTGGAGATAAGTAAATGGATATGAGTAAATGCATTATGGAAAATTTCAGAAAATCATCTTTAGTCAAGTAATATATCTCAAATAACTTTATTTCTAATCCGATAATAAGGATTTTATAAAACTAAGTTGATTTCTGAGGTTTGTAACTTACTTGTTTGTGTCTGCCATTTCTGCAACAAATATCTGAAAGTAAAAATAGTTTTTAATATGTTTTCATTTTAATATAAGCTTATCAAATAGACAAGGGATGATGTCCATTGTCCATATATCAAAATTGTTAGAGGGAGGAGGGAGTAAAATGATGGTTTTGTAAGTGAATAGTCAGTGTTGATTTTTTTGTATTCAAATGAAAAACAAATCATTGAAATCTTCTAAAGTTGTATGGATGATGGGATCAGGTATCACACCGTAACAAAATTCATTTTTCCACGACTGTTGCTAATTGGAGACCATCCCAGGTTATCCCGTTCCCGGACTATGGTCCTGTGAACATCTCAATCTTTTGCCTATGTGATTACAACATGGGAGAATTTTTTACTGATCTTACACTTCAGATACCTACTTCAATAGATTCCTTGGTAATTTAGCATTGTTTTCGTGTAGTTGAATCTACAATTGTCTGGGTTTATCGGCAGAACGAAGACATTTTCGTTTTTGATCGCAATATTTGCGTGTAACATTTAACTTATTTCAACCGTCAAATTCCTCCATATTGGTACTTCCGGGCTACATCCGGGACAGCCAAACGGGGGATTCCCCTTTTAAATCCAACCGCCATTTTGAAAAGTGATGGAATCTCTCTCAATGAAAAAGAGAAAATGTCCCCGTTCTGCCGATATACCCAGACAATCGGCGGTTCCAATATATTAGAAGTTACATCTTGAGTTCTATAATGCATTGAGGTAGGTATCTTAAGTGTAAGGGGCGTAGATAATTCTCCCAAGTTGTAATCGTACAGGCAAATGAATGCGCTCAGTGCAGGACTATAGTCCGGGAACGGGATAAATCCCAGGGTTCTCGTGACGTGCCCCATAGCAAGGCCAAGGACGGATCGTCTACATACGTCAATGGGATGCACTGAGATTTGTCAATCATGTATAATATGAATACATTTTTCAATATATTACAGCACTGTGGTCTTTACATAGGGTTTCATATCCGACAATGAAAATAGATTGACGAACCAACCCAAAAAATCATTGAAATGGAGTTTAGATGGATGAAACTTACTCGACTCACTAGGCAAATACTTGGCTGAAAGTCATGGCATGATGAAACAGGGTCACAAAATAGCGTAGAACCATCGGATTTGCAAATTTATGCTTCGCGGTGAATGACATTTTTTAATTTTTTTCTTTTTTGATTTTTGTCCACTGAACTTTTGTTAGATCTAAAGGAACGTGACATCATTTTTCAAACACTCCTGCATCAAGAAACGGCCCTATACGTAATTTATATATCTAGCGTTAATATAACAAGATTGTAGTTGAAATTGATCTACTTACATACACTTTTTTCCTTGGAAAATGCGAAATGTGTTACACGAGGAAAAGATGGCGGCAAAAGAATGATTTAGGTACGAGCTCTCTGATTGGCTGTATCGGTTTTGTGAAAACCAATAAAATTTGGTTAGACATATTTCGCGCCAAATTTCTTAAAGAGGCGATTTCTGATTTTCTAGATTATTTAGAGATTACAATCTGAGGCCCGGGTACGGGTATACAGTCATTAATAAAAAATCAGTCTTATTCTTATTAATAAAAAATCAGTCTTATTCTTATTCAATGTAAGTAATATAGTAATCTATTAATATACATATATACACCACACATTACCAACTCAGTACACTACCGGGGACTTTTTAAACATTTTTAACATATTCCTGGGCCTCAGATTACAATCATGGACTTCAAATAACGTACTTTTTAATTCATTTTTGTGAATTAAGATCCCAGAACCCCCGATTGATAACACACTTTATTTGTCCATTACCTCTTATTAGAAACATAGCTAGCGATTCAGCATAGTGATCTGCCTCAGCAGACCCTTGGAATAAAATCATTTAGTATTCCCAGGTAGACCTCTGTAAGACATCAGACCCCATCAGGGAAGGATAGTCTATGGGTCCCCCGCCCCCCCCCTTGGATGGGCCCCACTGGCGGATTAGGGGGGGGGCCTGGGGGCCCGGCCCCCCCCTTGGGTGGGCCCAGAAGAAAAAAAATTGGGCCCAAAAATTTTTTTGGGCCAAACAAGGCCTTCAGGCCCCAAAAAGTGGGCCTTTTTGGTCATTACTGGGCCTTTTAAGGCCTTATTTTTTAATTTCAGGTCAAATTTTGAAGAAAATGGGCCTCAAAATTTCAAACTTTGGGCCCACTTTGGGATTTTAGGGGCCCAAAATTTTTTTCCGCGCAAGCGCGGGCGTTTTTTTCTTTGACCTGAAATTTGGGCCCCTTGTTGGTTCCTGGATCCGCCCCTGGGCCCAGAAAAAAAATTGGGGCCAAAAAAAATTTTGGGCAAAAAAGGCCGGCCCAAAAATGGGCCTTTTTGGTCATTACTGGGCCTTGTAAGGCCTTATTTTTTAATTTCAGGCCAAATTTTGAAGAAAATGGGCCTCAAAATTTCAACATTTGGGCCCACTTTTCGGTTTTAGGGGCCCAACACTTTTATGGACTTCAAATGATTAGAAGCTCCCATATATTGGCTCTATGGGGACGTGTCGCCGCGCTAAGTGGGTCACTTTCGCCGAAAAATCCATAGATATGGGTCCCATTTTGAAGAAAAAACCTAGATATGGGTCCCATTTCGATGAAAAATTCCCTAGAACTGGGTCTACTTTTTGAAAAATCCTAAAACTGAATGATTACCCGACTACAGGTGCTTCCGAGTAGAGAAGGGCGTTTTTGGCTTCATAATGGACAGTCTATGCCCCATCCGATCCGGTCCAGAGCAAAACAGGCCCGTAGCCAGGATTTACCGGGGGGGGGGGGCAGGGGCGGATCCAGGAGGAACCAACAAGGGGGGGGGGCAAATTTGAAGTCTTGAAAAAAAAATTGGGCCCAAATTTTGAAAATTTAAGACCCAAGATTGAAAAATAAGGCCTAGGAAGTCCCATTTTGCCTAAAAAGGCCCATTGAAAAAGTATTGGGCCCCAATTTTTTTTGGGGGGGTCGGTTAAAACCAAGGGGGAAGCTTTTGCCACGGGGTGGGGGCTGTTTGATAGTTTTGGCAAAAATCATGCAAAAAGTGCTCAGAACGGTGAAGAACTTGAATCGTAGGTTTTAGACGCCAGTTTTCCTACAGACCTGTTACTAGCTACTTGTTAAAGGAATGGCCGATGTGTCACAACGACGACCACCTTTTGGGGAGTGTCACTGGGAAGATCATAGCAATCAACTAGGGGGGATAAAAGTTTCATCTATGTCTTTATCAATAATCTGCAAAGGGCTAATGAGCCCATTTAAAGCAGATCGGGCCCTTTTAAAGACATATCCCGAATTTTAATATTTGAGGTCCACATCACTTGCTTTAGAAATAGCCAAAAGTTCACGGGGCCCATCTTCGCCAGGGGTAGGGGATTGTAATTAACGATTAGGCAGTACGGGATTTTTTGTAAGGTGTGTTATATCTTTTTTCTTTTCAGTTCAGAACAATAACACTCAGTTCTTTCCTCATGTATATACAGGGTGTTCAAAAAAAACGCAACCCAAAGAAATCGCTATATCTTGAAAAATACTAGTTCAATTATGTTCATATTTTCAGGAAATAAAGAAGAGACTGTGTATGTATAGCTCCTGTAAATGGTTAGTTGTAAAACATGATGCCTTGAACACCTGCTCAAAAGACAGTTGTACTAGGAAAATCCGAAAAACGCAGTCAGGAGTGACTGCAACTGCAAAAAATTAAATAACTTCCTAACCATAGTGTTTTGGCTCTTCAAATTTGGCACAAATCATCTTCATTCACTGTATGGTTAATCTACAGAGTGAAATCAAAATCACTTCAGGGACTTTACAGTCATGGTTGAAATGCTTTCAAATCGCAGTCAAACGCCCTGGTTCAGGGAAACTTAAGAAGGCATTTTGACCATGACTGTAAAGTCCCTGGAGTGATTTTGATGAAACACCACAAATTCACCACACATCGAATGAGGATAATTTGTGCCAAATCTGAAGTGCCAAAACACCACGGTAAGAAAGTTATTTGGTTTTATTGCTGTGGCAGTCACCTCTGACTGCGTTTTCATATTTTCCTAGTACAACTGTCATTTGAGCAGGTGTCCAAGGTATCATGTTTTACAACTTACTGACAACAGGAGCTATACAAACGCAGTCTCTTCTTTCTTTTCCTGAAAAAATGAACATAATTGAATTAGTATTTTCCAAGAAAAAGTGGTTTTCCATTCGCGTTTTTCGTATTTTGCTAGTACAACTCTCTTTTGAGAAAATGTCCAAGACATCATGTTTTACAACTAACTAACAACAGGGGCTATACATACACAGTCTCTTCTTTCTTTCCTGATAATATGAACATAATTGGATTAGTATTTTTCAAGATATAGCGATTTCTTTGGGTTGCGTTTTTTTGAACACCCTGTAGATGTCTCTTCTAATCGGATATGTGCACGTTTACCTAATTTTACATGATTTAGTAGCTATAGAGTATATATTTTATTGTCAATGACACGAGCACAGTTTCTTTTTGTACTGATATCATCTTTACCTATTCATGAATTAGATGTTGTTCAATGTATTCCCAATTCTTATCAAGCAAAAAATGAAAACAATAATATGTTCTCCTTCTTGAACATTTTAAAAAGCTGATAATAAAACAAGAAAACAATCATGCATAACACAGTCATCAGTCATCACACCATACATGGGCTTTCAACTCTAATTGAAAGCCCATGCACCATATCATTTTATTGAAAATCTTATTGAAGGCTTCGTACATCAACCTATTAGGTACTCTGGTTTCTCTTCATCCACGCATAAATCTTTCGCCTTTTACTAAAGATTTCCGTGGAGAGGAACATTGTAATGAGTCTATATAGACTTATTTTTCTAACCTCAAAAGGGGTACCATACAAACAATGTGTTACTTCATCGCCATCCTTCTTTCACTTTTTTCTAATTTTACTTTTTCCAATTTACCATTGATTTCCTCAGTTTCAAAGTGCTCTCAAGTTTTAATGAATTGGGATGTTTCAAAATTGTTTTTGCAGTCTTGTGAAAAAGATGAACCAAACACGGCATTTCCCCCAGAAATTAATTGATAAATTTCTACTGAAAGTTTTGGGAATTTTCTGGAAAAACGTATTGAAAATGTAGTGCAATGATTAACTTTCTAACTGGGTATTTAGTTAATTAGATCATTCATGTTTGCATACTAGCTTTGAGCTACTAGTATTTATTTTGCTGGTTCATGAAAGTGGTTAAAACGTATAATTCATTTTTTATTACTAGTCAATATTTCTTTTTCAATCAGTAATTGTTGTACAAAACAGCTTGCCAATCGCCGTTTGGGCATTACAGGCTAAGGGATTTAAGGGATAAAAGTTGTCTATGTCTATTTCAATAATCTGCAAAAGGCTAATAAGCCCATTTTAGCAGATCAGCATCGGGGCTTTCTAAAAGAAACCCTAATTTTAATATTTGAGGTCCACATGTCATATCACTTGCTTTAGAAACAACCCCATAGTTCAAGTGGTCCATCTTGGGGTAAGGGGTTGGGGATTTCATAATTAACGATTAGGAATACGGGATTTCTTGTAAGTTGTGTTATATCTTTTTTCTTTTCAGTTTTCTAATCATTCTCTGGTCTAAAACAATTAATAGCACTAAGTTATTTACTTATATATATAGATGTCTCTTCCAATCTGATATGTGTTTGCCTAAGTAGTAGAGTATACATTTTATTGTCAATGACCCGCGCAGTCTCTTTTTATACTGATATTATCTTTACCTATTCATAAATTAGACGTTGTTTAATACCAAATTGTATATCGAATTGTTATCAGGCAAAAAATGAGTACAATTAATATGTTCTCCTCCCTGAACATTTTGATAAGCTGATAATAAAACAAGAAAACAATTAAGCATAACACCATATTATTTTATTGAAAATTTTATTTAAAGTTTCTTACATCCAACATTGTAGTACTCTGGTTTCTCTTCATCCACGCATAAATCTTTCGCCTTTTACTAAAGATTTCCGTGGAGAGGAACATTATAATGAGTCTATAGACTTATTTTTCTAACCTCGAAAGGGGTACCATACAAACAATGTGTCACTTCCATCCCTCTTTCACTTTTTTCTAATTTTACTTTTCCAATTAACCATTGATTTCCTCAGTTTCAAAGTGCTCTCAAGTTTTGTTTTTTTTATTATTAAATTAATCATTTGTACAAAGAATACATACAATAATACAATGTAAGTGGCTGTGCTTTAGCATTATTAGCCACGTTCTACAATTACAATATACAATGTATTCAATCAATAATATTTGATTAAAATAAATGAGATACAATAAGATAAAAGTTGTTTTGTGGAGGATTTCAGACATTTACACATCGCTCGAAGAAAATGGCACTGCACTTTAAAACAATCAGATTCTCAGCTCTACTTAATGTTTTATCACCATTGAGGATCAGAGAAAGTTTATCACGTTGTGTCTTATATTTACGGGAGTATTGTATATTCATATTTTTTAGTTGGTTTTCTAATTCAGTCCAGAATGTTAATCTCAAGTTACATCGAAAAATCACATGGCTGGTTGTTTCACTGTTAATACCACATGAGCAGATGGGGGAATTTACATTCGTAAAGTTATGCGAGTAAAGGTGAGCCTTGAAAATGAAATCACATCGTACTCTGTTAAATATAATTTCTTGGTTTCTTGAGATGGACAGTTCTGATGAGTTAATGACAGTTTCGTTAAAAATATTTCTTTTGAGGCTTGATTTAAATATGCTTAAGCTAGATGAGTTCTTTATATCAGATGGCAGTAGATTCCATTCTGATATTGTTTTTGAGATACAAGATCTTTCATAAAATTTGGATTTAACTGGTAAAATATAGTCAAGTTGGTGTCTTAGTACATGTGTTTGATTTCTTTTTAGTGGTTCAAATATCTCAGTAACATAAGAAGGCAGCAAATTGTTGTGAGCTCTATACATAAAGGTAGCTCTATGATATTGACGTCTATTTGAGAGTGTGGGCCAATTTAAAGTATTCAACACTTTTGTGGTTGATGTTCCATGCATGGCACCTGAACAAATAAGTGCAGCTTTATAGTAGAGGCGGTCTAAAAGTTGAAGTTTTGTCAAATTTGCACATCCGTAAAGAATATCACAATAATCAAAGAGTGGCAAAATAAAAGACTTAAAAATTGTTTCAAGGTGTTTTCCACTTATTTTCTTACTGAAGACTTTTAACGGATTTATGAGTTTATCTATTCTTGCTACAAGTTCAGTAATGTGATAGTCAAAAGTGAGATTTTTGTCCAAAATCAACCCCAAGTGCTTGTGATTGTTTACTCTTTGTAACTTGTCATTACCAAGGGAAAGATCTGGGGTCAAAATTTCGCGCTTTCTTGGATTAAAAAAAGTCATATCTTTACTTTTACTAGCTTTGAAGTTTAATTTCCATGTATTTGACCATAAGAGAATTTCAAGTTTTTCAAGTTTGCTCTCAAGTTTTAATGAATTGGGATGTTTTAAAATTGTTTTTGCAGTCTTGTGAAAAAGATGAACCAAGCGCTTTTGTAATTATACAACATTTTCCCCAGAAATCAATTGATAAAACTCTCCTGAAAGTTTTGGGAATTTTCTGGAAAAAACGTATTAAAAATGTTAATGCAATGATTAACTTTCTAACTGGGTATTCAGTTAATTCTCGAAATCGTTGTTCCCTCTTCAAAAGAGGAGACGCGAAAATCTTTCCTTTTAAGGTCAAAATTATGGTAGTTTAGAGAATACAACACCAAGAAAATGCATGCTGGTGGCTCCCAGAGGGTATACACATTTTTCACCAAGTGCTTTTTTCATCTCCAATCAAATTGCAGGATTCGATCACGTGAACAATCATGGGCACATGCTCTCTCAGTGCTGCGCATGCGCAGAGTTAAATTTGAAATCGTGGGAATGGCGTTTACATCAGTTCAACATCGTCATTTCAAACCTACGGTAATACTATTGAAGTTACTCGATCCATACTTGTAAAGAATACTCATAAAACTACAGTGAAAATTTGGAGATCCATTTCAACGGCAAATTGAGGCCTGTTTATAAAATTTGTTTTCGAACGTGCTAATATGATAGGGCATCTTTGGGGAATCTCCCCCCTGGCCAACACGGTAAAATACCGAATGGCGAAAAAAGCGAACGCATTCCGTTCGGTCTTTGCACGCGATTGCCGTTTATGTCACGCATTTGGTACAAAATATGTGTATATATCACTCATTTGTTTCGAAAATATTCACATCTACTATATATATTTTGCAAGTGGATCCAAGAGACCAAGTGGGCAAGTCAATTATTTTGCAGGGGTGGCATGATACACAGATTTCAATTTTGTATATAGTGAATTCCCAGTGATTGATTTCAGTACAGTAAAACTGTCATAGTGAACACCTCTTTAGTGAAGATCTGTGCCCAGTGACATGCCTCTACTCTATTGAACACCTGTGTATATTATAGTGAACACCGATTCCGTCCCAGCCAGTGAGTTCAGTACAGTAAAAATATCCTAATGAACACCTCTTTAGTGAAGATCTGTGCCCAGTGAAAACATGCGTCTACTCTATTGAACACCTGTGTATAGTGAACACCAATTCCCAGTACAGTAAAACTGTCATAATGAACATCTCTTTAGTGAAATACTGTGCCCAGCGAACATATGAGTATACTCTATTGAACACCTGTGTGTAAGCGAACACCAATTCCCAGCCAGTGATTTCAGTAACTTTTAGAGGGGATTGTACCTACAGTAAAATCTGTCTTATCCAAGGGACCAGCTCAGAGCGTTCGGATTAGGAGGTGTTCACATTTTGAGGTTTTGCATTTGCAAGATTTGGGTTTTTGAAGAAATAGAAACAAATTCTCAATAAATATTATAGTTCTTTTGACTACTTAGCTTTGGCATTAGAGTGACATGAAAATCTGATTCAAATGAATTTAGTCATCCTAGAAAGCCCCACCATGAGTGAGATCGTTCAAGTTTTTTTCAAATATTTGATCAATTTATGGAACATGTGATATTTTATGTGTTCAGATTAGATAGGTTAATTTTCAAACATGACTGTTCACTGTCAAAATTGGGAGATGTTCATATTTCAAGTTTTTTAAACATTTGAGTCAATGGGAGAAAAAACGGGACCAAAAAATGTTCAAATTGGGAGGTGTTTGGATTAGCCAAGTGTTCAGATATACAGGTTTTACTGTACTACAATTGTTTTCAATCTTTTGGAGGAAAGTGTACATCATTCCAGAGAAATGACAGATGCACTGTATATACAGTGATCGCCTACTATTAAAAGTGCGTGATCAAAGACTCGACAAGATGCGCAAAATTCAAATATTTTGTAACGGTTACTTTTAAAAGATTTATTTGTGTTTATATTACAGGCTACTGGTGATTCAATTAGGTTTTGTAGGCACAAGAACACCCATATGCTTTGAGAAATATATATTAGTTTGACCATTTTTCGTATATGTTATTGATTTTACAATTTAAAGATATAAATGCGATACAATATGTGTTATTTTATTTAAAAAGCTTGAAAATATCAAAAACAATAGAACATTTTTACTCTCTTTAATTTTTTATACTTAGGTAGGGTCTTGGACTTCCAATTGACCATGATGAAATTCACGTTTCCCCTTCTATAACATGGAATAAATATTTTAACACAGAAACGAATGGATCAGCCAATAGCGTGAGTTTCAGCAAACCATACACCCATATCTATATGCTTTTCAAGAGAAGAAAATGGGGATCTCGCAAAATGTATGTCCAAACTGATTCAGTCAATTAAATGTTCACTGTGTGTGTGTTCATTTTGTTTTTCTGCCTAGATTTGAATACATTACCATTAAATGATATATACACTGAACCTCTAGAACCTGCTAAGTGAAACACCTCTTGAAGCGTAACACCTTACAAGTGGAACCGTTTTTTAAGTTCCATTTTAGTCCATTTATTTTACGCCTCTGATCCCAAGGTATGAGACTATACACCTTGGCATCCAAGATGATTGTCGAATTGTAATGTAATTGTAATTGTAATAAAATATAAAATCTGAATTGTACATTATCTATTTCATTGGGGAGTTAAATCATTCTTTTGCAGCAAGGTATCAATAAGTAATGTAATGACGTAATAACCTTCAGTAGATGCCAGTAGTCAGTTCCCAGTTTCACCACGAGGTGGCTAACTTGGGTCATATATAAATGACAGGTATAAGGGAAAACTCCTCTAAGGTATTCAATATTCAGAAGATTTATTGATCAATTTTCAACTAAGGTCTATAAGTGATTAGCTTGAGAATTTTAGAATTGTATGTAATCGAATGCAAAATAAACGACCAGTGAGCGTTTTTAGAGAAACTCTACAAAATGTGAAATAAATACCATGCTATTATCTCTAATGACAGAGTTATGTGGATCGATGGGACCGAGTAAAAGTTCCAGTTTAGGCTTTGCTCAGAGGGGTATCATCTCAGATTAACTGGTGGACACTA